GTGTGTTTTATTAAATTTACCCATCTCTTCCTTCCAGGCTGAACTGCATGCTGGTGGGGTTTTTCATTTTGTTCATGACCGTATATCCCCAGCTCCTAAATGAAGACGTATCAAATGAGGGAACCAGTCCCCGCAACGAGGGTTTCCACTGGTGCTGGCGGGGCGGCGTCCTGGAACGCAGGACTGGATTTGGGTCTCCCTCGGTGCCACGCTTTTCATAAGAAAGTGGCTTCTGTGTGTCCTGGCAGGTTCCTGCTTCTGAACCCCACACTGGCTTCACCTGTACACAGATTATAAGGGTACAGCTTGAGGGGTGTTCCCTAAATAAATCCTTCGCATCGCTCCCCCATATCAAGACTGAGTATTATTGTTTCCAGAAATTTCTAGACCACCCAAATTCACTCATTCTGATCACTTCATTATATAGCTGTAATTGGAGAGATAGACATCGTGTTTCAACAAAGACATAGCTGTACTTATCCATGAGACTTCTCGCTTTCTTACATGTAGGAAACGTGTCTTCTAGGCCTTTTGTAACCTTCCCTCTGTGGCCATGCTGAGCGGGACCGTCACGGATGTGACAGATCAGCCCTTAGCCCTGGTGCCACCATAGGAGGAAACACTGGCTAAAATCACAGCCAGAAATGTTCGAACCCTGTAGGGTACTAGGTGCTGGTTGGCTGCTGGGTTGGAAGAAGGTTTGTTAATGTGAAAAAAATGTGTGTCAGGATAATGTGGACAAAATACTCAGTTGAAGAGATGCGATTGGGAGCTGGAATTCAGAATGGTGTTTTTTCCCGTAGCTTTCTGTTTCCTATAACCTCTCAGATCAGTGTGCTGAAGTTAATATCCTGGGAGGCGTGCTCATTAGACATTCATTTATTCATTCAGTTGTTCATCCAACAAATATTTGTTGAGTTCTTCTGGCAACGTACCTAGACCCACGGGAGAACAAAGCAGTGTTTTTGCCATCATGAAACGTACATTTTCATGGCAGAGACAGATGATATTTTTAAGTATATTGGCTATAGATTATGATGACTGCTACGAGTAAAGCAAATGGGAACTGTGATAAATAATAACAGGAGGCGCCTAAGGGTGGCCTGGAAGGTCTTTGAGGAGGTGACACTTAAACTGAGGTCTGAGGGATGCAAAGAACCACGTAAGGTCCAGGCAGTGGGAATGGCCAGTGCAGGGGCCTCTGGCAGAAAGAGCATGGTGTGTTCACACAGGAAGCCAGTGTGAACAGACAGGAGTGAACAGAGGGAAAATGGACAAGTACTGAAAATGTTTGCTAGGCTTTTGTATTAGTCAGCGTTCTCCAGAGAAACAGAACTAATAGGAGATTAGATAGATAGATAGATAGATAGATAGATAGATAGATAGATAGATAGATAGATAGATAGATAGATAAAAGGAGATTAGTTTTGCTTGTTTGGAACTTTATATAAACAGAAACATATGTTTCTAATTATTTGTATCTGGTTTCTTTGGTTCAACAGTATGTTTATGAAAGTTATATACGTGGCATATGGTATTAGTCAAAGTTCTTCAGAGGAACAGAGCCGATAGGATGTGCATACCTATCAAGAGAGTTATTGGAAGAAATTAGCTCACCTGTTTATGGAGGCAGGCAAGTCCAAAATCTGCAGGATGGGCTAGCAGCCTGGAGAGCCAGGAGAGATCCCGTGTTGGAGTTTAAGCCCAAAGGTCCTCCATTACAGAATTTCCTCTTGCTCAAAGAGACCAGGTCTTTTCTACTCAGACCTTCAACTACCTGGATGAGGCCCACCCACTTTAGGGAGGGCAATCTGCATTCTCAAAGTTCACCAATTTAAATGTTAGTCTCATCCAAAAACACCCGCACAGAAATATCCAGAATAATGCCTGTCCAGATATCTGGGCACTGTGGCCCAGCCAAGTTGACACGTAAAAGTAACTGTTCCACATATAGTCATAGTTTATTTTCATTGTTGTTTCTATTTTATGGTGTCAATATATCACAATTTATTTATCATTCTACCATCGATGGCCATTTGGATGTTTTCCACTTTGGGGGTGTCATGATAATGACACTATAACATTCTCCTACTTGTCATATAGGACTGTTAATATACACACATACATGCATACATATATCACATTTTCTTAGTTGTGGTGCAGTGTTCTTTTTTTATAACTCCAGCTTTGCTTTACTATTATTTTTCTTTTGGAATTTTAGATCTTTGTTCTTGAGAGACACTGGCCAATAACTTTTCTTTCTTATAATATCCTTGTCAGGATCAAGTTTATGCTAATATCATAAAACAAGTGGAAAGAGTTCCCCTTTTTGTCTTTTCTATTGAAGAGTTTATGTAAGGTTGATGTTATTTCTTACTTCAATGTCTGCAAGATTTCACTGATCCTCTATGAGAAGCTTTTTAATTAGAGATTCCATTTCTTTAATATGATGTAGACCTAACTGATTTTCTCTTCTGTCAGTTTTATAAGTGGTATTGTTCTAGCAATTTGCCCATTTTATTTAAAATTTCAAATCTATTGTCATAAATCTTTTAGTAATATTTTATAGGCTATTTAATATCTGTAGGACCTATAGTGATGCTTTTTCAATTTTGATGATGGCAACTTGTGCTTTCTTTTGTTTTTCTTTAGTCCTGTCAGAGGTTTATTGAATTTATTGTTGACTTCAAAGAGCCAACACTTGACTGTTAATTTTTTTCTATTGTATATTTGTTTTCTAAGTGCAATGTTTTCTACTCTTTTTTTCCATATACTTTCTTTGGGTTATATTTGATTTTCTTTTTTCTTGCCTTTTTGACATTAATATGTAAATCATTGCTTCTCGGTCTTCTTTTCCAGTATAAATACATAGTATGCTATAAATTTCCCTCTAAATATGGCTTTTGCTGCATCATACAGTTTGGATGTGTCATATCTTCATTATCATGCACTTCAAGATACTTTCTGATTTCCACTGTATTTTTTTCTTTGATCCATCAGTTATTTACAAATGCATTGCTTTGCTTGCAAACATTTGGGGATTTTCCAGTTATTTATGTTATTGATTCCCCACCTAATTCCACTCTGTGATCAGAAAACACTCTATCTCAGTCTCCTGACATTTTTTCAGACTTGCTTTATAGCTCGACAAAGAGTCAGTTTCATGTGTACTTAAAAAGAATGTGTATTCTGTAATTGTTAGGTGTAGTCACTTAACAGCAACTTAGAGTCAATTGGGTTAAATTTTATATTTGCATTATTCATATCATCTATTGCCTAACTGAGTTTGTCTGGTCTGTCTCTTGCTGAGAGAAACGTTAAAATTTTCAACTATGATTTTGATTTATTTCTCCTTTCTGATCTGTCAACTTGTGTGTGTGTGTGTGTGTGTGTGTGTGTGTGTGTGTATTAGGTACATACAAATTTACAACTTTTATATTTCAGGCAAATTAGCCCTTTTATCATTATTAAATGTCCGTCTTTTGCTAGGAGTGCTTCTTGTCTTAAAGTCAACTTGTATGATATGAAATAACTATGTCAGCTTTCTTCCAATTAGTATTTATGTGGTATAACTTTCTCCATTCTTCTACTTTCTGTCATCTTACTATTTGTTTTCTATTTGTTCCACTTGTTCTATATTCCTTTTTTCCTTTCTTGCCTTCTTTTGAGTTAATTATTATCTTTATTATTTCATTGTTCCACTTGACTAACTTCTTATACATTCCTTTATTGTTCTGTGAGTGGTTATTCTAGAGATTACAACGTGCAAGTCTTTGACTTGTTAAGGTCTAATATGAACTAGAAACAATATCAGCATAGGCTGCTTCTATAGCTCATGAAGTATTCAGAAAATGCTTATAAGTTTGCATATCTATATATCTATAGATAGATATAGATGTAGATCAGTAGGGTCCCTAAATACCTAGAACCCTTAGTGTTATAGTCACCAAAATGAGTTAAAACAGTGAAGTTGAACTCTTACATTATCTTTAGAGATTCAACATTTTTGAAATTCTGTTACTAATTTTCCTAGAAAAAGAGAAAATTAATTTTAAACAAGGATTGATTTATAAATCACTTTTATCATAATCAGATTACACTGTTTAGGTAAAAACTTAAAACATTGCCCTTTCAGCATGCAGAAGTGGTATCCGTTAAATGCATCTCAAAGCATGACCCTTAGATAACAGTAATTCTTGCTTTTATTCCAAATGTCACACTTTACACGAAGCTGTAAGGACTACAGTGTGCATTTAATTTAACAGTGGTTAGTGTGCATTTAATTTTGTCATTTGGATTCATGATGCTCTGATGAATTGTGTGATGAAAGTTAGACTCAGAAAATGTCCGGGTTTATTTTCAAAAAGACTGTCACCAGGCAAGCAGGTCCATGCTTCTGCAGTGATTTGAAGAAGCCTGGCCTGTGAGCCCTTTTTAATTTCGAAGCACATGATCCAAAGTTAAAAGCAGCTTATCATCTGTTCAGTATTTACCTCCTTTGGACTGCTGTCCTTTGCATCCTTTGTAATTTCCTCCTGCCTGTCCCTAATTATTCCGTCTCACCTAGCAATTTGATAAAAACCTTACTAGGTGTTACTCTCAACAGGATTATATTTCCTAGGGGAATGTAATTTTCCACTGCTGTCTGCAATGGAAGAAGAGGTGAGTAAAAGAAAACCTCCTGCAAGAAGGCTGTATTTGAGGAGTTATTCACAAGAACAAACTATAATTATGAAGTTTTATTTTTACAAAGTACAATTTTTTTTTAGCCACAGTAATGTCTGTTTTCTCAGATTTGGTGGAAACATTCCGAAAGAGAAATACCCTGGTGTGGGAAGGCTTATTTTTCATCATGCTTTTGCTTTGATGAATTGATTCTGAATGAGACATTTTGGATATTTCTGGCTGAGCTTCTGATTTCACTTTGGATCCTTACTATCTTCTGAGGACTGGGGAGGGATATTAATAGAGATTACTTGGCAGAGGGTGTGCGATTTTTCTGCCTCTAGAATACGGGCAAAAGGTTAAGGTCAACAAATCGTTGCACGATGAAAGTCAGCAGGCAGGGCACCCGATGGCTCTTGCGAGCTGTCTTTGGCAGCCGGGTCCTCAGGGCTCTGGGCCGGAGTGGGGCCAACCATGCTTCTCAGCAGGAGGTCCGGAGAAAGGCTGTCCTGAGGTAATTGGGAATGAGGAGGTAGCTCTTGGTTAGACTTCATAACCTGTGTGAACTTTGCTGTGTGTGTTGTGTGTGTTGTGTGTTGTGTGTGTGTGTGTGTGTGGTGTTTGTGTTGAGTGGTGTGTGTGTGTGTGTGGGTGTGTGTGTGTGTGTGCGCACGCGTGCACGTGCACTTTGTTTTTTTAATGATTACCCTTCAGACTTCTGCAGTGGCCGATCTGATCATGGGATTTTTATAAACTGTGGTTAAGTTTACCAACCTAGAGATCCAAAGCAAAATGGAGATTCTGTGTCTTAGTGTGCGAGGGCTGTGATATCAAAGTACCACAGACTGGGCGGCTGAAACAGCAAACATTTATTTTGCTCACAGTTCTGGAGGCCAGGAGTCCCAGGTCAAGGTGCTGGCAGGACTGGTTCCTCCTGACGCCTCTCTGCTTGACTTCTTGCAGACGGCCGCCTTCTTGCTGTGTCCTCGCGGGGTCTTTTGTGTGCGCATGTCTGATGACCCTTTGTGTGTCCCAGTCTTTTCTTATAAAATTGGGTTAGGACTCATCCTAAGGGCCTCTTTTTAACTTAATTACCTCTTTAAATATATCTCCAAATATATAGTCACATTCTGACGTACTGGGGGTTAGGACTTCAACATATTATGGGGCACAATGCAGCCCATAACATGATTAGAGTAATTTTAGCTCTAGTGGAAACAGAGAGTAGAAAGGTGGTTACCAAAGGCTGGGAGTTGTGGGCAAAATGGGGAAATGCTGGTCAAAGGGATGCACTTTCAGTTGTCAGATGAGTAAGTCCTGGAGCCTTAATACAGCATGCAGCATGGTGACTGTGGTGAATAATCCTGTACTGCGTACTTGAAATTGGCCAGGAAAGTAGGCCTTAAGTGTTCTCATCACACACACACACACACACACACACACACACACACACACACACACACGAATCAGGTAACTATGTGAGGTGATAAATGTGTTAATTAGCTTAATTGTAGTAATCATTTCACAAGGCATGCATCTCAATTCATCAAGTTTTACAACTTAAATATATAAAGTTTTTGTCAATCATACCTCAATAAAACGGAGTGGAAAGAAAAGAGTATCTGTAGGAATTTACTAGGACTGTTGTTCTTAAAACAAGCATCAGGTGGTTCTCTCTTTGGCACTAACAACTCTGGACCCAATTCCAATGTGTGTGTGGGAAGAGGGGTTTCCCACACCATCAATTCTGACACCAGCCAGGCACCCTACAATTCTGACACTACCTACCTGGAGATACCGTTAGAGCCCACAGGTTAAGGGCTCAGTCCTATAAGACTGCCCCCACCACCACCACCAAACACACTCATACACTTCAGATGCCAGGTCCAGGTTGTCACCTGTGCTTCTGAAAGACCAGCTATAGATCCAATGACCCCCCTCCTTGGGTTCAGTGAATTTGCTAGAGCAGCTCACAAAACTCAGAAAAACATTTTACTTACTAGATCACCCACTGGTTGATTATAAAAGGGTATAACTCAGGAATAGTCAGATGGAAGAGATGCACAGGGCAAGGCGTGGGGAGAGGCATGGAGCTTGTGTTTTCAGAGCACGCCGCTCTCCCCAAATCTCCACGTTCTCACCAACCCAGAAGTTCTCTGAACCTTGTCCTTTCGGAGTTTTTTTGGAGGCCTCATTACATAGGCATGACTGATGAAATCGTTGGCCATAGGCGACTGATTCAACCTCCAGCACTCTCCTCTTCCTGGAAGTCTGGGATGTGGGACTGAAAAGTTCCAGCTCTGATCACATGGTTGGCTCCCCTGGCAACCAGGCCCCATCCTTAGGTGAAGTTCCAAAGTCACCTCATTAGCATAACAAAGCCACCTTTATGTTTTCATCATTTAGGAAATTCTAAGAGTTTTAGGAGCTCATATACATTTCTTATTATAAATCACAATATCACAGATACTCTTTAAAATGGCACCAGCCTCCATCTGGTAGCCAGTAGGCTCCTTTCTCTGTGCCCCAGGTACCAGATTAAATGACTGCCTGGCTTGAAACAGAGCAGCCCTGTTGGCATTTTGATAGCAAATTCAAAGCTGTTTGGTCGCTGATGAGGCTGGTCCCTGATTCTGTGACCTACCTGGAAGGCACCACTTTGCCAGAATGTGGCCGAGCCCCTGGGGAACGCCCTTCTCCCCCTTCACACCCTTCACTCTCCGTGGACACGTGGAGGCCACTTCCGGATCTCACCTACATTTATTTTTTTTTAAGATTTTTTTTTTTTCATTAATACTCTGGAAATTCATTTGAGGTATCCTGGTTATGTTTACTCTTCTTTAGCCCTGTAAGCAATAGAGGCTTTTTATGTTTAGTGATGTTTTTCGTTAGTAACAGCGTCAGCATCTGGAATGACTTCTGTTTTTCTTTGGGGCTTCTTGACTTCCCTGGTCCGAGTCCAGCAAATGGAGAGTAGAGGGCCGAAGGTGGGAATTCGCTTTTCCTCCTCCTCCGATTCCTCCAATGCTTGAGGAAACTTTTCCAAGTAAGAAGAAAGAGGAGGTAGGAACAGCCGTTTCTCAGATTGCGAAGATCTCGAAGGGGCAATATCAGTTCATTGCTTGACTCCCGGCGATATTCATTTAGTTTTGTTCTGTTTTTCAATAAGCCTTTACCCCTAGTCTTCCGTGTCCTGCCCAGTCCTGGACCTGTCTGAGCAGGGCCAAGCAGGACCCCAGAAACAACATCTAGAGTTGCTTCAGATGTGAGAATAGGTAGCTTTTAATTCTAAGACACTCAGAAAATAATTAGGAGGGAGGCTCAAACATGCTGGCTGTTTAAATGTTCCAGCTTGAAGGCATTTCCAGTTGTTCTTTCCCACAAAGACTAAGGCGCCTCTGGGGTGACTCTGGGCCCATCTGCAGAAGGGCCTAGAACTCCTGGCTCACTGCTCAGCACTTTTGCTTTTTGGGTTCTTCTCCTAGTGCTTGTCTAAAAGACATTTTTGAAGGTTCGGCCCAAAACTCTCTTCTCCCTCCTCCTCGGAGGACCTGTTGACAAACATGCCCCATCTCTTGCCCTTCTGTGCTTTTTCCTGACCTACAACGTGCTTTCACACGTATGTGAATGGCACACGAGCAGGGGAGAGGAACGCTGGAGGGTCGCAGGGTTAGGCTCACAGGGCCTAGGGTTTGGATCCCTGCTCTGTGCAACGTCGGGCAAGCTGTTTCATCTCTCTGGGTCCCTCATCCATAAAGTGGGGCGAGTACTTCTTAGGATCATGGTGAGGTCTCACTGAGGTGAGGGGCCCAGGAAAAGCACCCAGAGCCCCGCCGGACGCTTGCAGCTGATTAGCAGAGGCAATCACGACAGCTATCTCACCTCCCAGCCTCAGCTGTCTGAAGCCCGTCTGGTGCCTGCTTTTGCAAGCACTGTCTCTCCAGCTGCTTCGGGTTGCAACGTATAATTCCTGCAGCCCAAAGGACGTGACTGGATAATAGCCTTGTCAAGTGAGCTGCAGTGATATTTGAACATGAGCCCCGATCTGATTATTCTGCAGTCATTCAACTCCAGGCCGGAGAGGATTCATACTTTCCACTGCCTCCCGGGCCAGCCGGTTTCCATATCAGCCAGAGCCTCCAGGAAGATGGAAGGACACACTGTCATTCTTTCCATTCACGCTGACCCTGCTCCCTGTCGGGCCAGGATGCCAGCACGTTCGGCTAAAGGAAGCTGTAAGCGCTGACCAGACCGTGCAGACCGGCCTCGGGTTCCAGCACACTTGAGGGTAGATAGATGGCTCTTGGTGTTCTGAAGCTGGTCTTGCCTTACCTGCGAAAGCAAGACACACAGGACCCCCTCCTGTCTCCTTGGACATCCTTGGTCCGGTCTCTTATTTTGAGCCGGTGAAGGAATTGCAATGCAGACGCTTTGGGTCTGAAAGTAATGCAAAATGTGACACTCTTCCTGTCTGTTCCCTGCTGCCTGGTGTTGGTTGTAAAGACTCAGATTGATCACAGATTCCACATGAATTCTTCCCACCAGCCCTGGAGGACAGATTGGTGGTTGTGATTTCTATGATAGGGAGTCGAAAGGCAACTTGAAAGAAAAAAACCAGAAATTCTCCTGCTCGGGGTCATTGCTGCAAATCAGTGGCCCGATGGAATGAGAGAGCTCAGGGCCCGGGACCTGCCAGGTCGCCACCTCCCTCCGCTATGCTCAGGGACCTTGCTGACACTATTTCAGTTTTAGAAAATGTATTCAAGGGACATGAGAGGCAGGTCTATTTTAGGACCCCTGACTAATTCATTTTATTGTGTTTTCTATAAAGCAAAGAGTTATTCATCAGCAAGTGTAAGTAACATCTGAGTAATGCAACTACACTGTGTTAGGGTTGGGTCATGCTTTTTGAACTGGTCATGAACATTTATTAAATACATGCATTGAATCATATGTTCTTAGAGCTGGGAGGGACTTTAGTCATCATTCAATCCAGTGGCTCCCACATCTGGCTGTTTATCAGAATCACCTGGAGAGCTTACTGTAAATTCAGATGCCCCGGTCCTCCCCCAGGCCCAGAGCCAACAATCTGGATTCTGTCTGTAGCCTTGGATGTTTAACAGGCTCCCCAAGCGGTTCCTAAACATCTTTGGAGGACCCACATTTGAGAAGCACAGGGTACAAATCCTTCTGTTCCCCCATTTACTTGTTTTTTGTTTGTTTGTCTGCTGGTTATTTTTGTTGTTCTTCTGGTGAAGAACCCAGGGCCCAAATGCTAGGTGACCTTGCCTGGGGTCACACAACTCGTCACTTGGAGTCGAGACTGGAAACCCAGCTCTGCCCTTCCAAGGCATTGCTGTGAATGGAGCCCGACGGGGTGTCCAGCAGAAAGAAGCTGATGACAAGGCGCTGTCTGCACAGTCGCACAGACCACTCCTGGTAACAGTCTGTACTGTGCCCGAGGCTCCTGCAAGGTCACTGTGGCCAGATGGACCTTTCAGAGGACCCACTAGG